GTATACGTATACGTATAGGTATATGTATATGTATATGTATATGTATATGTAGATTTATATGTATATGTACATGTATATGTATATGTATATGTATATGTATATGTATATGTATGTGTGTTTCTGTATAGTATATGCATATGCATACGTATATATACATGTGTATGTGTTTTGTTGATGGTTTTGCATATGTATATGTATACATGTTTGCATAAATGTATATGTACATATACATGTATATGTACATGTGTGCACTGGACCACGCCGTCGGGAGGCATTGTTCGAATTGAGATGGTCGTCGTCTTTTGCACTTGCAAGTTTCTTTCAGTTTCGTGCAGCTCGCTTAGAAGCCCTTGCATACTTGCGTTACTTGCGCCGACAACAGTCACTTCGTGGCAGAACTGTTCGCGTTCCTCTTTCAGCCACCCTGGCTCAGCTTCAAGTTGTGGATAGCTGCAAAGGGCCGTGTCCAGGCTCGCCTGATGTCTTGGCTCTTGCAAGGATAAGCAGCATGCAGCTTGCTTCCCTTCTGAAACGAGCAAGGCGTAATGCTCACATCTGCTCGTCGGCTGGGTGTCCGCCGTGCGTTGGCCTTGCGTGCCGCTCAACATGGCCAGCCCATGAGGACCTGAAGTAGATTCAACATGCTGCACGGTCAGAAGGTGTGTGTTTTGACGTAGAAACCAGCCAGGCAGCCGGTTGTTGCAGTAGCGTGGGGCTGTTGAGGGTGGCATCTGGATGCTTGTGTCAGGAGGCAGTCGTTTGGCTATGGCGACCCTGCTCCCCCAAACATGCCTGGCATCGGAGGTTGCGCGTTTTTTGTGTAGGGATCGTCTGACCGGAGTTCTCATCACGCTCACGGCTTCTAGCTTTGTGCTGGCATGTGTCTGGCAATTGTGCAGGTGAGCATCAGCTGTACCCTCCAGAGACAATGCAGACCACTGCGAAGTATTTTGCGGAAACTTGCTTGATCTCCTGCGCCGGAGTTCTTGACGACTCGTGCATTGGCAGAAGGCTCTCTGCTTTGTAACAGTGAGGACAACATGACCAATGTCCCGAAGTACAAGGAGAGAGCTAGCGATTGCTGCCGCATCACGGTGAATGGCAAGTGGGGAGTCTTCTTGATGCAGGAAATCATTGAGGGAATCGGCTATCCTGGACAGAAGCATTCGGCCGGAGGCAGGCGTAGCATGACATAGCACTCCGTGATCTTGTGTTGGTTTTCTGCGGAGAAGGCCTATGCACTCTCGGCCGGATCTACTACGGCCCTGGCCGTTGCCGTCTCGGATTTCTTAAGATATCCGTTCGTGCCCAGTAGGGAGCTTTGAGACCTGCCTGATGTTGGATGACGCAAACATGGCTCAACAAACGCTATGCCTACCAAAGCTTGTGAGTGATGAGCATACAAGGGAGGTTCACAGATGTCCTCAGATTCGTCCTTTATTGTCCAGCTTGCCACGATCCAAATGCAGCGCCCACTGCTGAAGCAGTCTTTCAGCAAAACTCTGGGTTTGCCAGCGAATTCCGTGCACAGAGGCTGGATGGGGATGTAAGCTGGCGAGTGTTTTGCGAACTTTGGGATTCAGCTGGCTCGGTCATGCAGCACGGCTGTGGCTGGTTGCAGACAAGCGCAGCGCAGCACTTGACTTTGCCGCCAGTTGTGAAGGAGCTTTGCTGATGGCCTGCCTGCTGGGCGTGATACAGTTGCTTTATGGCATTGAGGTGTGACACTATGCTGAAATTGCTAGGCTACATGGGCTACAGCTAATCACGGAACGGGCAATGGAGAAGCGCCGTGAGCAGCCAAGGTATGGAATGGTCTATGTGTTCGCTGTGATTGCAGATGACATGGAATCCTACTATGATCTCAAGGAGGGTGACGGGACAGAGCTCTTTGCCCCTTGGCTGCAGTCTGAGCTGACAAGCGAGACGGAAAGGCACTGCAGACTACCATGATGTCGAATTTGGCTCGGAAGCAATGGGTTGTTCTCAGTTGAGTCTTGACATTCCCGGACGAGATTACTCACGGCTCAGCCCGATCCTGTACAATGTTCAATTTCTTTATTGTGTGAAGCACTCCATGCTCTGGAGTCTCTTCTCTTCTCTGTCCTGCCAGTCTTACGTCCAGCGCGATCGGAATTAGGACTCGAGCGCAGCGGAATACCCAGGATATGCTCAACTTCGGTGCCTGTGCATTCTCATTTGTGCCGGGCTTGCTCTATGATTACTATGGGGCAGCCGTTGCAATGACCATCGGCACCGTTATCGGCTGCCTGGCTGCAGCCTTGTGTAATTTCAACCTGGACGTTTAAAGTGGATCTCCTTTCCTCGGTGCTAGGCGTCGTGCCTATCATCGGCCAATTAGACTGGTCGAAGATCTTCCCTTCCTTAGACACCTTGACAGGCCTGGCCTGGCTGCCAAAACTGGCATTTTTCTTCTGCTTTTGTTGCGCTTCTGGGCCAGGCCTGAAGGTGAGCTATGCTATTTTTGGCATGGCGGAGGTGGGCAGCCGTGATTTCACATGCGATGTTGGGCTCAGAAGCCTGCAGAATGCCCGGGACGTCGTTTGATTTGGAGACGCCCATCAGAAAATTCTCCTTGCAAACCTGAGGCCTTTTTCAGCACCATCGCGACATTTGCGCCTTTGGAAGCGTTCCCTGTTCAGTACGTAGGGGCGGTCTCTGCAGCAGTTCAGGCATCTAGCCTCAAGTGTTTCAGAAGCTGGAGTTCTTTGTCATGCATAAGTGGAGCCCTACCCCAATTTGGATGGTAGTGCCACGAATCTCCGAGATCCCAATCAATGCTGTTGGCTGCCTGGCTTTGCTTAAGGCAGACGAGGGAGGGACGGAGGGACGGAGGGAGGGAGGGAGGGAGGGAGGGAGGGAAAGGGATCGAATGCAAAGCTTTGCAAAGGTCTGCATGGAACTGCATGATCGAATAAGTTGCGCATGGTCTAGATCACAGGACACCTTCGAATTCACTTTGGCACCAGATCTTCGCTGGCAAATTCGAACCCAACAAAGACCATCGTGCCAGTGCTGCCCGAATCAGAGATCATGGGTCAACCAACAGCGAAAGCCGGATCAGCAACCGGCAATGTGCAGATCATTAAGCAAAACGCAAGACTCTACAAACAGCGACCCACTGATTCCGCTCGTGTTGCTGTCATGCTAGAACACAAGCCATTAGGCTGATTGAATGCATTCTGCCTTGGTTTTGATTCACGGTTCCTCGTTTTCCGATTTGTGCTGCCGTCTGCAGTCTGCTGGACTCAGCCTGGACACTGCAGTGTTCATTGGTAGGCTTGGGCTCGACTTGAGGCTTTGGTATTTTCAGGTGTGGCAGCCATGCCGGCGCTCTGAGGTCAGCACATCGCTGGGTGCCAGCATTCAATCCGAAGTGTACCTGCTCCTGAAGGACGACTCAACTCACTCTGATTCATCTTTCTGAGCATGGCTTGCTGCGACTCTGCTGATGGTGCCGAGCCCTGCGAGGACAACTTTACGAACTTCGTGCAAGTCTACTATACCTACATGCTTGTTTGCACCGTCGTATGTGGTGGCCTCATGGTATGCGCTTTCTGGGAGAACAGCAAGCTTCTGCACAGAAGCAAGTCGAATCTGGCGGACGACTTGGAACAACGCAGCTTACAGCCACATTGCTGAATACATCGGACTGCTTTTTGATGCTTTGGCTGCTTTTAGTGCTGCTGTTGCTGCTGCCGCTGCCACCTGGAAGGCATGTTGGGCTGTTAGACTTCACCCGAGGTCTTCTCTGTTCAGCATGAATTTCCTGTACATGTGCTTACTCTTCTTGTTGGGAGTTGGGTTTGTCTTCAGCTACTTGGATGCTGCAGGCACGGTGTTGGAAAACCCCTCATCTTTCTGTTGAATGTGCCGGGCAGCCTGGGCAATCGGGGCCCTCACTGTTGCGATCACCCCGCAGGCGACATCAATGCAGCTGCTGGTTTGCCCGCCTCGCGAGCGACGTTAACGTTTGGTATCTACGGTGCACTTGCGCGAGTTGTGGCCAACTGCGCATTGGACTACACTCGCAGCAAGCCCAATGGAGGTCCGTTGACATACATTGCCCTGTCACTGCTCTCGCTTGCTGCAGGCTGGACTGTTGCACTTCTGCTCTTGGTTTAAGGTAGCTTGGATTTCCTCTTTAAAACAGTTCCCGGGCCCGCGCAAAGCTTTTTGTTTTTAAGAGCGTGTGACACATGGGAAGCCTCAAACGTCAGTAGTTTAGTAAGAGTGTCCAGACTGTCATTTCTTGCATGGTTATCATGGTCATTCTTCAAGGAGTTATAAACAGGCATGCACGAGTGTTGACAGCTGGGCTGTGGTGCACGACTGTGTGGGGCGGTGCCGGTTGACGGCTCAACGATGGCGGAACCAGTTTGTGCACTGCCACAGCACAGCCCTTTTTTGCAGTCTGGAGTTGAACTGCTGCTGAGCAATCGGCAAAATCAATCAATGGCCGACGCCAGACCATGGATGTCGTCGGGGGCAGTTCAACATCCATGGGAGGCGTTCGCAGCACTGCTTGAACCCCCATGCACCTTGGAGTACACCTTTTGAGGCTCATGGGACTGGCGGGTGCGCAACCCCCCTTGGCAGGGCTTCTTGGATGCTTGGGTCCCGGAGCCTCTGCTTCGAAGGCTTAGCGGCGGCTGGGACGCCATCTGATCCGGACACAGCGTCTGTCCATGTCTGGCACCCAGCTTGAGATAGCTTGAGGTACCCGTGTCTTCCGCGACGATCGGTGAGGTCTGCATAGAGGCAGTGAGGTGATTCCGCGAGGATAGGAGGAAGAAGAACCTCCACTTCTGAAGTCAAAGACTCGGCCCATGACCAGCAACGATTCTCCCCGCCGGAAGTTTGCCTAAGACACAATGCCCTGGGAGCACAGCAACCTAGCGTGATGATAGCGCCTTTGCCGTCATCCGTGTGTGGTGTTTGGCAACGTCGTTCAATAGATGTCTTCCGTCTTCTCGCTCGTCGTCGGCGCAATCGGATGCCTTGTGGAATCCACGGGGCGGTAACAAGGTGTATACCAAGCCCATTACTTTGCGAACGCACGTCTGTCAGAAGAAGATCGGGAGTCATCGGCGTGTCCAACGTTGCCGAAGAAGTGAGAGACGAATCTCGTGATAGCTGTGCTGAAACAGATCTGAGGTCATGAACCTGTTCTGCAGCCTGGGTGCTGGAGGCTTGCTCGGTGTTACACCACCCGCATTGAGGCGCCTTGCAGTGGAGCAGGCCGATTGCACAAACTGCACCTCCAGATTGCTGACAGGCTGCTATTTGGATCTGGATCTTTGGGTATCATCTACGGGCTTCTTGTCTGGCTGCCAGGCAGTGCTACGCATATCGGCTCTTCAAGCCGTCATGAGTATACCTGCGAACAGCTGCCTAGAGGAGTGGCTTGTGCACCACTGCGTGGGTTGTGTGGCTTCTGTGCGTGCTGTGAGGCTGCTCTACCTCCTCACTGCTTTCGGAATTCCTACTTGGGGCCTACTGCTTCCCAGCCAGGGATGTACCACGGGATGCTTCAGAGCTTATTGCTGCACAGGCGGGGGGAGCATGGCTGATGCATGGTCGATCTTCCTTGGACATCATTGTTGTTGCATGCGATTACTCATCCCATTCTTCTCTTGTGTTGTGCTCTCACACTGTGGTCACGATGCTGGACTACTGAGCACCTAGCAGGTTCTGTGGTGCCGTGGAGCTATCTCTCTGTTGTCTGACAGGTGCTGCTCTTTTTCCAGTTCTTGCCATAGGCGCATTGCTTCTCGGGCGAGGACTTTCACGAACCAGAGTTGCAGCAGGTACACATATAGGCAACTTCATATGCCACGAGTACTGAAATGGCGATGCCTGTCGTGAATGCAGGAGACGATGCTTCACGAGGTGGTTGAAACCCGCACGTTATGAGCTGGTGCCATTGGACCTGTTTGGCCGTGGCATCACAGAGAAGCACAGGTTCATCAAGATGATGGACTCTAGCCCAGCGGAAAAGCTGGTTGAGATTTCAATCGCGACTACGCACAAAGCCTTGCGGAAAACAGCAACTTTTTGCCGAAGCCTCTTGTTTTGGGAGCTTGTCTTGGCAGCCGTGTAAGGGGCTCACCTCAGAGCCAATTCCGGCGAGCAGCTGGTCGATTTTGCAAGTAGCATGCGAGCATGCGGAGTTTTTTCTTCGATCTTTGGTCCTCCGTAAGGCTACGACTATGGGCGCCCAGTGATGCCGAAGGGTGCTTCGGCTCGGAATTTTTGGGCAATCGAGCAGCGCAAAATCAGCGACTAAAAACTAGCCGGAGAATCACAGAGGGTGGGCTCAGAAGATAAGGTCTATAGTAAAAGCGATGCGAGTGTTTTGGTTTCGCTGTCTCCGAAGGCAGGGCGAAGCTTCATTGTTCTGTTGCTAGCAGCATTGTGCTCGTGAGGGGCTGCTCTCCAACTGATGTCAGATGAGACGTTCAGGGATTTCAGGCTTTGTTGTTTAGGGTTTCGAGTTGAGGGTAATGAGCACTAAAACCCCAAGTTGGACTCGAGGTGCGGAAGGGCTTTGCGCTTGTGGCCAGCTCTTTTTGGCCATTGTCGGTAGTTGGGAGGTTCTTGGGAACAGTCTGGGTACCTTTAGCAAGGAAGTAGCATCTGGCACCCCTTTGGTAAAACCCTCATGCTGCTCTGGCCTGCCGTTCCCTTGAAACGGCCGAGGATGGTTTGCAAACTTCTTCTATCCTCTGTGGGTCTGTCCCTGAGAATTCTGTTGCGAGCGCCGTTTCTTGATTAGAGATTTAAGCGATAGTTGGAGTTGAGCCGCGTGCGAGGAGTTCGGCCACATCGTCTTCGTGTGTGATCGCTGGCTTGCTTGGCGTTTCCTCCGGCATTTCATGGGCTTTCTGACTCCTGACGGCAGTTTGCCTTTGCGGGGTGCCAGGCCGCTTTAGGAGCTTTCGCCAGGATTCGCGCTTAGCGTAACGCCGTGAAGCCTTCTTGGCTGCTGGAGCACCATTGAAGGAATCGCAAAAATTCTTGGGAGGTCCTGCTGTGAGAACACTATGAGCAAAGACATGGATAGCTCTCTGTCTCTCTCTCTCTCTCTCTCTCTCTCTCTCTCTCTCTCCCGCTCGCTCCCTCTCCCTCTGTGTCAGTGTGTGCGCTGGGTCGGAGACTCAAAGACACTCAAAGTTCGTGTCTCTGACTACACCTGCCTCGGGTTTTTACTGTCGGAGAAATATTAAATGCTGAGGCCAATTATCCGAAGCTCTAAAAGCCAAGCCCTTATCGGCTTTGAACCTTTGTTCACTTTTTGTAGTTTTGTGTTTTTTTGTAGCTTTCCTCTGGTTTGGGGAGGATTTGACTAGCCTGTGCCCGGTCCAAATCTATTCTTGAGTTTTTGGCTTCCATTAAAGAAACTTTCTTTGGCCGTCTTAGCTTTCGTTGGGTTTTCTAAGCTTTCTTTGGCAATTCTTGGACAAAGCTTAAACCACAAGCTTCGAAATGAAATCCCAGCGATGACAAAAAAAGTCTACGCTAAAACCTGGGGCCGGAGGTGTTGTGTTTAGGATTTAGGGCTTAGGATTGAGGTTTAGCTTTCGGGGCTTTAGTTTGGGGTTTTGTCTTCGGGCTGGGCTGAGGGTCCCGTTCATCCTGGTAACTCTAGGTCTTAGGGTTTGGGTTCTATTGTTCGGTTTAGAGTTTAGGCTTTGGGTTTAGTTCTGTTGAAAGGGTAACGCAACTCACCAGCCCGTCCAATCCAAATGATCGGTGGTGCCGCTCGGGCGAGCGGGGTGTTGGGACTGCCCCATGCCCCGAACAAAGCAAAGAGAGATAGACAGCGAGAGATGGTGTGAGGGTGATGGCCACCCTAAACAATGTGGCTCGGAACCATGCTGGGGTGATGCTTTTTGCCAGTGGCAATGCCATACAGAAACAAACTGACGAGACTCATCCTGGATTTGTGAAACAGACGTTTGCCGTTAAGGATCTGCTACATTCCCCTCAACATTCAGATGCAGTGCCGCCCCCAGCTTCGGGGATCTCGAATCTAGAATGTGTAGGAAAGGTTCTGCAGTTGCAGCGGTGCCTACTAGATTCACTAGATAGTTCGGTGCGGGGAGTGTGCAGATTGTCGCAGCGGAACATTAAGATTCACTAGGAGTGATCTTGCTGGGACGCCATGTGTGTTTCTCTCTGTCTCTGTCTGTGTGCGTGTGTGTGTGTGTGTGTGTTTGTGTGCGTGAGTTGCCTGCTAGCGGGTACCGGTTTACAAGAGGGAGGCACTGCAGTCTCGATCAGCCTACGTTTGGGGAGATGAGCTGAGAATGACGGGCTGGATGGCAACCTAGGTGGAACAAGCAGATGATGGAGGACTGAGCTCCCATTCCTGACCTGCCGCGTCCATGAATCGCTACCCCTGCGGAGCCCCGGCTGTCCTGGCCTTGCAGGAGTACAAGAAGCATCACGAGCTCTGAGAGTCACGAGCCGCTTCTTAAAGGTCTTGCCGGCAAGCCCCAAAGACTGGCCGACGAAGACTCAGACCTTTCAAAGCTCAATGTGCACCTGCCAGCTTCTTCCCTGGAATACAGCACTGCTGTCTAGAATATGTCACGCTAACAGACAGTCCAAGGGCCGTAACGTGAAGCTGGGTGGGCAGCAATGCATCAAGCTTTTCGATGCAGCCACCCATGCAACTGCTTGCCACAATGTTTTGAATCATGTCGACTTGATGAAAAAAGGCTGCTCCGAGGCTCGTGAGCAGCTTGCATAGGCTGATGCACTTCACTCGGCTTGTCGTTCTCTGCACGTTCGGTTGGTTCAGGTAGATGTGGAGAATCGGGGACCCGGGAATTAGCAGATTAGTTTTGAAGTGTTTAGCTTCTTATCGATGTCGGGCTTGCCCAAACTCCGAGCAGGTGCCGAGGTCAGGAGCCCCCGTGTCTGAGATTGCACTTCAATGCCCTAGCTGCAGGATGGTATCGAATGTTGCCGCGTGCATCGAACCTTTGTGGAAGGACAGAGCAGAAGTCAGTGGCCACACATCTAGCTGCGCAGTTCTGAGTCACTGCTTACTGTACGAGTTTTGTTCCCAGGAGTTGTGCTCACACCCTGCCCACCTCGTTCGCGATCTTGGCCAGATTTCTCTCAGTCCGTGGTTGAGCTTCTGAGCACTGACGCTGAGCCTGAGATGATCCCGAAGTCCGAAAAGCGCGTCAGTCCTGAACACGTCCAGCCAGCCTGGGACGATTGCCTGGGCTTGTCGCCTGGGCACCACTTGTGGGCCGGTGTCACCAACCTCATGATTTGCAGCCTTCCAGCCAGGTGCAAGGCTCAGCCTTCCGCTTCAGGGTTTTTGTTTGCCATTCCCTCGTCTGGCCATGGCCCGCTACCCAACGATGCTAGGCGCTAGGTGCTTGTCGATCCTAGCCGCCTTAGGCCCTTAGGCTTCAGCGTGCTGCCATGTCACCAAACCTTGTTTAGATTATCACGAAAGCTCCCCTGAGGGAGCTTCGTTCATTACCTCAGCCTGGGGGGGGGGTCAGGATTGGCGGTTTTTTTCGGCTATCCCCCAGCTGAAGCTGGACAAAAACCCCGTTGCCAAAGGGGCCTGTTTTGGGCCAGATTTCGGTAAAGGAAAAACACCGATGCTGCTGATGCTGGCCTGGGCG